ACAATAACAACAGATGCAAGTAATCTTAGGCTACTCATCAGAGTGATATTCTCCACAGGATCTAGCTGCGCGACGCATTGCGTTGTGAGGTCAATTCTGGCTTATTTCTCTCAGCGCGTCTTCTTCCAGAAACAAAAAGTAGCCGGGATGAACTCTTCACGTTTGTTTACGCGGAGGCGATGTGGGCGTTTACATGCGCACGCGTCTCACGTGGATGTTTAGAATCTGAAAAGCACGATCGGCTCGTGGGCGTGACCGCATTAGATGTATTGAGTTGAGACGGGAAAACTAGACATCGCCTATGTTTCATACGGATTACTTTAACAGAGAATATTTGTTTTGGACGTGACTTAGTTAATTTAAAGGTAGACATTTCAGGCTTTCTATACATATATTTCTCATGTCTTTGAGGCAAGTATTCGCTGAGATTCAGGTTGTTTTATTTACGTGTCTGTGAAGAGAGGTGACAGAGACCGAGACGGCGGAGAACGCACCGTTTATTTTCTTCTTTTTTTTTTACAAAAACACATTTTGTTGTTATTATGACTATACACAAATAAAAGTAGACCCTTTGCAGTTTCAAACGATACCTTATTCTTATCTGTACGATCAAAACTGACGAAGTATTTTAGATCTTTTTGCGGTCATAAAGAAAATACAAGACGGACTGCATCAGTGTGTGCCACTTTATAACGCTTGAGCAATTGAAGTTTGCTTGGATGTCAGTCGTGGTGGTTGTGACGAAGGGTGTTCATCGGTGGGCCTTTTGGCCATGCATTCATCATTGATTTGTCTGTGATACTTCTGCAGGTGCTGATACAGGTTGATTGTGTTGCCTCGCAAGGTCGACACAGACATTCGGCAGGTTTTACAAAGTACTTGCCTTTGAAGTACATCAGAACGTCGAAATCCAAATTAATTCCAGACATATGCGGTGCTTTTTCGTTTAGGTACCAAGTCTTCTGCAGACACACTTTGTTGGGAAGTTGAACTGCTGCTCCCGCTCGCAGTTATCTTTTTCAAATGGCGTTATTTGCTGGTTCAGTCAGCACGTGCAGTGTTAAAATGCCCCCTATTGGTTAAACTCTGCATCAAAGTAAAATGTGCATGAAGCAAACTGTCAAAAACTACGTAGATGCTTGTTACATATTTGATAGTCCTTCATCTAAATAATCGCAGCTCTTGCAATTTGAAAATCGCACCCTTTCAAATCGCGATTTCGGTTTACAAACGATTAATCGTGCAGGCCTAATATACATAAACAAATTTTTTTGCAATGATCACTCAAATAGGGTGATCAAATACTTATAATAACTTGACAAATATATGTAATGGGGGCAGGGTATTTAACAATTTAACAAACTTTATTATCCAAAATGAGTGACATCAGTGCACTTAACAGTAAACTTCACTTATTATAAATAACTTAACACAAATAGAACAATATATACAGTATATAACTTGAATAAAGAACATGAGGATTCATATTTAAATAGTCTTTTTGCAGTTAATTATTCACAGACACTAGTCTGTATCATGGTTTGATTTAAGTGTACTGACCTACCAATTTTTTTATTTAATCATCAAAAATGTCAAATTTTGTGAAATTCCGCATTATACAGTAAATTCCATTTTTATGACTGGATTCCGCGATTCCGTCTGAGTTTTCTGCATCATGACCTGGGTCGCCAGTAACAAACTAAGTAATTACACCATTTAAAAGCATTTTCTCTGGTTATATGTTCTGTAAAAAAAAATTGTATCGGTGGCATATTTGCAGCATATTCGCTGATGCCGATATTTCTGCAGCAGTCTCATATCGGCCGATAAAATTGGCAAAACGATATATCGGTCAGGCTCTAAAATTAACCATCAGGTTACATTCTGTCTGTGTTTTATTATAGTTTATCAACGTCTGAAGCAGCTTCAAGGCAGAGAAAACCCTGCAACTGCACACGGTCACAGTGTCTGAAGTTGTAAGTGTCACCCGTCATTTGTTTTCCATTCTCTGAAAATTGAAAATGGCCCATATGAAGGGAGTAATCTGTTTCAGCTGCTACATTTGGCAAGTGGTTTCATAGTTTCCAGATCCAGTTGTATAATACTTCCTTCCTTTTAACAATCTGCAGTTCAGTTCTCATACTGTCACCAGCAAGAACAGTTTATTCTGGCAGACAGGAAGCAGATTAACAGAGGTGCCAGTATAGTTTGTAACTTTATTGCTCACAAGCACCCCGTCAAGCAGTTTACACATTGGCAGTGCCAATTGTTTTTAAGCTTTGCCTGAAGCATCACATGTACCACTATTCAAATGTTAGGGGTTGGTAAGGTTTTTGTTGTTGTTGTGTTTTTTTTTTTTTTGTTGTTGTTGTTTGTTTTGCAAAGATGCATTAAAAATTGATAAGTGACAGCAAAACCATTTATAATGTTAAAAAATTTTATTTCAAAGAAATGCTATTTTTTTTAAGTTAATATATTTTCAAGGTTCTCTGATAAATATAAAGCAGCAAAAAATATGAAGCAGCACAACCATTTTCAACATTGATAAATGTTTCTTGAGCAGCAAATCAGCATATTAGAATGATTTCTGAAGGATCATGTGACACTGAAGACTGGAGTAATGATGCTGAAAATTCAGCTTTAAATCACTGAATAATAAAAAAAAATTTAAATAGAAAACACATTTTAAATTGTACTAATATTTCACAATATTGTTTTTACTGTATTTCCGATTAAATAAATGCAGCCTTGGTGAGCAAAAGACACTATTTAAAAAAAAATCTTACAGACCCCAAACATTTGAATGGTAGTGTAATTCTTAAGGCAGCTGCAGTTTACTCTCTAAGAGTTTAATCTCTCGTCTCACAGGTATTGCGATTGCTTTGCCAACGGGGAGTTCTGTAATAACTGCAACTGTGTTAATTGCTTCAACAACCTTGATCATGAGAGTGAAAGACTGAAGGCCATCAAGGTAATGAATTCTGCCTTTCTGTAGACCTCCATTGTTTTTTCTTTCTTTTTTTATCTTTGTTTTTATTTTCCATCTCACTACAGACATAGTACTTCAAATATGCCATTATTATTTTTTTAGTTCAGATGCACAATTTAGAATATCAGAGACTTAGAGGTGGGCTATTTGCCAGTTAACAACCACCTAGCAATAGCATAGCAATGCCCTCTTGTTCATCTCGCTGTACAGGACAGTTCTCCTGTAATGCTTTGAAAATCTATAGGCCTCGAATGAAGTAATGTATTTTCTCCCAGGCATGTTTAGACCGAAACCCTGTGGCTTTTAAGCCCAAGATTGGCAAAGGCAAAGAAGGAGAGTCAGACAGGAGACACAGCAAAGGCTGCAACTGTAAGAAATCTGGCTGTCTGAAAAACTACTGTGAGTGTTATGAGGTGAGTGTTTGCACACTGCCAAGAATGTGAAAGTGTCATTCTAGAAGATATGGTTGGCTTTCACTTGTGTTTAGGACCAGATATCATTATTTTGTCTGTTCGCATTAGGCAAAGATCATGTGTTCGTCCATGTGCAAGTGCATGGGCTGCAAGAACTTCGAGGAGAGTCCAGAGAGGAAGACGCTGATGCACCTGGCAGACGCTGCAGAGGTACGAGTCCAGCAGCAAACCGCAGCCAAAACCAAACTGTCCTCACAGATCTCGGATCTGCTCACCAGAACCACACCGGCCATCACCAGCGGAGGCGGAAAGTAAGTCCCACCTTTATCAGCTCTGCATTATGATGTCTGTCAATCACAAGTTTTGTGTCATTCACTCTGTTCAGCTGTCTCTATATCAACCAATTATCCATGAATCACCAGAACACCTTACCAGCTTCCTAGTAACAAACTGATAATAATAAGAAAATTAATAGGATAGTTTCTTGAGCAGCAAATCAGCATATTAGAATGATTTCTGAAGGATCATGTGACACTGAAGACTGGAGTAATGATGCTGAAAATTCAGCTTTACATCACAGGAATAAATTCCAGCTTTTACCACACAGCGATTACCTACTAACCACATAAAATATCATAACAATATACAGTAAGTGGTTACTAGGTAGTTGCATGTAAAAATGACTTGTGTTAAAATGCCTTGGCATTCTTCTAGCAACTGTCCAGAACCCACAATGAAAACCTACACACTTTGTGTTCTTTTATGCCCAGCCAGGACACACCAAGCTGATGGTCGGCCGTCGGGCAATGTCTGGTGGTTTTTGAGCATCGGTTGGCTTTAGTTTTTTCAGTGTGTTTTGCACCATTGGCTCTAGTTGGACACTGTCAGCTGTTTTTGAGACGATTCCGCATGTCGAATCGGCAGCGTAGCTTGTCAGCGAGAATGAGAACTCCGATTGGCTATTCAACTTAGAGAATGGGCGCACGTGAAAAAACAGAACTGACGAAAGCAAACCAATGACAGAGTAAAGAGGGAACGCACAGACACTTGTTATTCTATCCATTTCTCTTTTTTTCTGTTTCCGCAAGAAGACGTCCCAGGGCTGACAATGCCTGTGCCATTTGCAGACATGATTGAAAAAGCTACACAAATCCACCAGTTTGTATATCCACAGCTCTAGCTTTTCCGGTTTCCCTGTTTGAATGCCGAATACAGGCTACTTTCACCTGCTGGTAGGGGAGAGTTATGTTCTCTCACGCAAGCGCAGAGTGTACATGCTAGTTGGCCATCGGCTATAGCAGGGTTCCTGCGAGTCCTTAATTCTTAAATTTAGTTGTATTAAATTTAAGGCCAGAAAAAGTCTTAAACTGTACAAGAAAGTCTTAATTATGACTTCAAAAGGTCTTAAATTTGGGTATGGAAAGACCAGAATTGTGATATGGCTTATGTGACGATTAAACTTAAAGGCTTTGATTTCATTAAATAAACATGAGCGCTGCAGGGTGCTTGCCAGGTTTGTTTACTGCCGTCACCGGGGAAACCGCTATATTTCTGCCATTCCGAAAGCGCCATCTGCTGGCAGAGAATGAATGTGCATTTTCAATAAGCCCTTTTCTATTGCAATACCGGAGGCTGCAGTTTCAGGACCAGGTCATTTCTAGGACCCTATAGTTTTTTTTTATTTATTTTATTTATTTTTGTATATATGTATTAGCTGCTCATACTATTTTATAGCACTTGCTATTCAAATCTGTATATTATTATTTTTAAGGAATTATGTAGTTGTTTAGTTGTATACACTTAATTATTGTCCTAACCAACTCCTAACCCTAAACATACCCGCTGATAACCCTTTTGAAATATTTAACCTAATTTATTTCAATATATTCTATATATATTCTGGTAGGGATGGGCGATATGGGCTTAAAAATATATCACAATATTTCTGGTATTTATTGTGGTAACGCTATCAATGACAATAATTCAGGGAATCCTGTTTCTTTAGAGAAAAGTATTATCTTTCCTATTTTACCCAAAACAGTGTTGTGAGCATTACTGAGTACACACGTAACGTATTGACTGTTTAATTCATACTGGAAGCTGGATGGTGCCCTTGCGCAGAAACTCCATAGCAGAAGTAATACTACTGAGGACACTCCAGGAAATCCCTAATATGGACAAAGGTATCCAGTTATCGCTGAATAAAATGCACAAAGGAGAATTTTAACTGATGAAACTAAAGACAATAAACATACGATTGCACAAAATATATGGTTTATCTGTGTTCTTCAAGCAATCTTGGTTATTTTTTATAATGAAAGTATATTTATAATGCAGTGCTAATCGACATAGCCTTTATCACTGTATATATAATACTATCATTCTGTAATATGAAACCACGTCTGGTCACAGAAAGAAGTTATTTCAAACACTCAACTATGTTATGAAGTTAATTTGGAGAAAAGGCATGTTAATAAATGATATCTTTGTTGGACAACAGGTTTGTTAACAGGCTCGTACACATGCAAATCTGTATCGCACACATGCTACTGTAGTACATATATTCAGACCGATTTTTTTGTGCACTGTACAGCCCTAACCAAACCAGTTCCAGATTGTAGGAGCTCCTCATTTAGGATAAACTCCTCCTCAATTTCACGTCCGCCCTCCGCGATGTCGCTCCACACGGTCGCACGCAGAAATATATCAACAACTAGATGTTATCGTTATATCGCGGGAAGACTAATTCTTATCGTGGGGAGAATTTATACAGATATCGCATGTATATCGCAAACGATAAGATATCGCCCATCCCTATATTCTGGTTTTAAATTCAGTTTTCTTGGAAAGAAAACTTGTCTCTTTGCGAGACTTCAGTTCATTAGCCGCAACGCTTCACGTCTGATGTCTGATAACAAAAAGTGCAGTAAACGCTAAAACAATTGCGGTACAAATTAGTGTGTTTATTAGTACTAGGGATGCACCGATACCACTTTTTCCAGTACTTGCCCGATACCGATACTTTTATTTTTGGTACTTGCCGATACCGAGTACCGATACCAATATTTTTATTGCATTTGTACATTTTTAAAATATTGGGTACAGAAACCAAAAAGTATGTATAATGTTGCATCCCTAATGGTATCGGTGCATTCCTAATTAGTACGTTAATCAATTTTAAATAATTTGAATACAAATGCTAATTTATAACATCCAGCAGCACAATGAACTGTTTTGCACAGCTAAATAGGCTAATGGAGATTGCTGACATCGCCTCACACGATCAAGTTCACGCCAGCTCTTACATTAAAAATAAGATTAAAAGTTAAATTAAAAAAAGAATAGTTTCCATGGATCTGGTCTTTGCATCTGTTTATTTGATGTTTGAATCAGGTCTCCTCTGTTGGAATAGAATTGGCTAGATGGCGCTGTCACAAAAAATAGGGTCCTGGAACTGCAGCCTCCGGTCGTGCAGGAACATAGTATTGGGTTGTTTTTCTTCAGACCAATGCGAAAATGTTTTTACCCTGCAAATACGCAGATCTGTAAATGTGAACTGGTGGATCGATAAGAAGATAATTCATTATAAAAATCTAAACGGTAAAATGTGTTTGTTATTTAATTAATATAATAATTTATTGATAATAACTGTTTAAATTAATATAATATTTAATACTTTTGGTAGTACATATATTCAGACCGATTTTTTTGTGCACTGTACAGCCCTAACCAAACCAGTTCCAGATTGTAGGAGCTCCTCATTTAGGATAAACTCCTCCTCAATTTCACGTCCGCCCTCCGCGATGTCGCTCCACACGGTCGCACGCAGAAATATATCAACAACTAGATGTTATCGTTATATCGCGGGAAGACTAATTCTTATCGTGGGGAGAATTTATACAGATATCGCATGTATATCGCAAACGATAAGATATCGCCCATCCCTATATTCTGGTTTTAAATTCAGTTTTCTTGGAAAGAAAACTTGTCTCTTTGCGAGACTTCAGTTCATTAGCCGCAACGCTTCACGTCTGATGTCTGATAACAAAAAGTGCAGTAAACGCTAAAACAATTGCGGTACAAATTAGTGTGTTTATTAGTACTAGGGATGCACCGATACCACTTTTTCCAGTACTTGCCCGATACCGATACTTTTATTTTTGGTACTTGCCGATACCGAGTACCGATACCAATATTTTTATTGCATTTGTACATTTTTAAAATATTGGGTACAGAAACCAAAAAGTATGTATAATGTTGCATCCCTAATGGTATCGGTGCATTCCTAATTAGTACGTTAATCAATTTTAAATAATTTGAATACAAATGCTAATTTATAACATCCAGCAGCACAATGAACTGTTTTGCACAGCTAAATAGGCTAATGGAGATTGCTGACATCGCCTCACACGATCAAGTTCACGCCAGCTCTTACATTAAAAATAAGATTAAAAGTTAAATTAAAAAAAGAATAGTTTCCATGGATCTGGTCTTTGCATCTGTTTATTTGATGTTTGAATCAGGTCTCCTCTGTTGGAATAGAATTGGCTAGATGGCGCTGTCACAAAAAATAGGGTCCTGGAACTGCAGCCTCCGGTCGTGCAGGAACATAGTATTGGGTTGTTTTTCTTCAGACCAATGCGAAAATGTTTTTACCCTGCAAATACGCAGATCTGTAAATGTGAACTGGTGGATCGATAAGAAGATAATTCATTATAAAAATCTAAACGGTAAAATGTGTTTGTTATTTAATTAATATAATAATTTATTGATAATAACTGTTTAAATTAATATAATATTTAATACTTTTGACTCATCCATTTTCTTAAAAATGGTTTAAAGGCTGAAATGTGAAGCGTATCATTTTATGAAACTTTGTTTTTGTGAAAACTTGTATCTGAACTGTAAATCATGCATTTTACATTCATTTTACGGTTTAATATGTTACTATAGACATTGCCCTACCCCGCTCATATGGTATCACTATTATTTGTGTTGACACTTACATTTGTCTTAAAAAAAAGCTCTTAAAAAGTCTTTGAGCTTAAAAATCCTGCAGCAACCCTGTCCGGTGTGTTCTAGTGCAACTCGGTGATCCGAGGCAATGCCACAGTTGTCTTCCTCAGCACTAGTTCTTTACTGTCGGTTTGGTGTGTCCTTACCCTTAGTGTTGGAGAATGATCTTGTAATAATTCGAGTGTAAATCTCTTTCCAGGTTGCCATACACATTCGTAACAAAGGAAGTGGCCGAGGCGACGTGTGACTGTCTGCTGGAGCAGGCCGAGCAGGCCGAACTCACCAACCAGCCTCAGGCCGTGGCAGAACGCCTCATTCTGGAGGAGTTTGGTCGCTGCCTCAGGAGAATCATCAGTTTTGCTGGCAAAGCTAAGACGGACTGTCCCATCAACTGCTAGAGCCCTCCCGCTCGTTTGGGGCCCAGGGTGTTGCTGAACCTAGACTCGGGCTCCACTGAGGGCACTTTTACCGGCCCTCGTATGGATTCATGGGCCTTCTAATGATAAGGCACAAACCAGAACTTCCCATTGGCCTGTGAGATGTGTTGTGGAGGGCGCACTATATTCAGTAGGAGGACTACAGTACTTCATTGTAGCCCCTGCGATGGACTTAACACTGTTTGCTTTACCGGAAGGGGTTTATTTTAGAACGATCGATACTATTTTAAGGTAGTTTGTGTTTTGTTTGGCAATGTTTTCCACTTTTAAATCTGCATAATCATGATATGTATTTGTCTTTTAAAACTGGATTTTCATATCATCATTCACTGTCGTCTGAAAGCCCTTACTGATGACCTCGGGATAGTCGGGATGAGGAAGGAACTTCCCTGCACATGTTATAATTAGCCGTCTGATCATGACTTGTATACAGTAAGTAGCCTGTACTGTAGCTTCATTATATTTAATTGCTCGCAGCAGATTTTGTTCCTTGAGCAGAATCGGGTTCAGTCTTCATCGTTCCATTCATGTTAAAGCACGCAAGTGTTCAGCCGGGCCGGCCTGAGAGTCGCTGGATGGGACGAGGGCCACACGAGATTGAAGCAGAGCATGGCGGTACAGGTTTCCTGTACTCCAGAAATCTAAGATTAGATTTGAATCTTTAATATTTAAAAAACAAGCAGCTAAATAAGCTTTGTAATCCAGTAGTGAGTCTTAAAGCTTGTTTGATAGGTTCCTTCATCTCAGTCCACAGATCAGTTGAGAACCTGCTCGATGATTTTATTTTTTTTTCTCCAGGTTTGTTTGGTTTGGGTTTTATTTGCAGTTATTGGTTGATCAGCTCTGTCAGGGCCTAATTAAACCAAACCTTTCCATACTCAGAGTCATGTGTAGTCCCTAAAACACTTTATGGATGAATCTCATGAAACCTGCCAAGAACACGTCTAGTTCATATCGCATCCCAAAATCATTCATTTATATTGCTTAAAGAAAATGTAGCATCTTTTAGAACTCATGGATAGTTGACCCAAATATGTACATTTTGTAGTTTTCTCACCTTCCTGTTGGTCCAAACCTGTATGACGTCTTTCTTTGGAACATAAAAAGAAATTGAGAAATGTCAGGGTTTTTGTTGTTGTTATACATAAGGGTGAGTAAATGACAAAAATTGTCATTTTTGGGTGAACTACTCCCTTAAGTATTTTTCATGATAATTCTATTTTTTCCATTATCAGTCATTAAGCATAATGCAGGAATTTCTTCTTTTTCATTACAGTAAATGTTATTTTTACTTAATTGTATTACAGTTTGATTTCTTTTGACTTTTTTTAGTAGTGTAAAATTATTTTACAATAATAAGAATCAAAATGAGTTTATATAGAATTATATGAAGATATGTATATAAAATGAACTCATTCTTATTACTGTATTTATAATTACTTTGATTTAAAATAATTGTATTAGTTTTTTGTAGCGTCTTTTACAGTAATGAGAATCAAAAATTAGATTTTGTTTTTTCATAAACGGTATATAAAAATAAAATTGCATTATGTGTAATGCAAAGAAAATCTCATTACTGTTCTAATTATTACAGTTTGGTTTCTTTTTTAGTAGCATAAAAATTGACAGTAATGAGTCAAAAATTTGATTTACATAGACTTTGTATGTATGAAGATAATCATTATGCATAATTAAAACAAAAAGTCTCAATCTATGATCATTTAAATTAAATTGTACTATAGGTTGGTTTTCTTTTAGTCAAATTATTTTACAGTAATTAGAACCAAAAATTTGTTGTTGTTTTATAATATAAATAATATTTAAAGGTGATTTTTGTGGTCCTAAAAAGTGGGATTATGTATGTCTTCTTTTACCTTTTGATTTTGGGGTGAAATATGACGACGATATGTGCCTTTTGTGATTTACTGGCGAAATGTAGTTTATATTAATGGCTATTTCTTCTCAAAGGCAAGTAAACTATGTTGTATGGGATATTAAAACATCAAAAGTTGGTAGATCAAATTACTCAAAAGTGCTATAAGAACAAGAAATCATCGACTCGAGGTGGTCTTCAGGTTTGGTTGAAGCCATGATTTGGTTTGGCACAGGAGCTTAATACAGACTTTCAAGCATTATTAAAGAGCACTAGAGGACAGGCTGCTTTTTGACTTCATTTTGCTCATAGTGCCTTTTCACACAACAGCTCAAACGATTCTTCACCGTGCTCCGTGGAAGTCTGCTTTCTTAAACGCAGATTAAACATGAAAAACCTGCTGCATGTAATCTGCCAAAAATAGTTTTAGTCTGATTTTATTCCGTTTTATTTATATTATCAGGCAGTTACTAAAGCTATGAAGGAACTTAATCTTATCTTTCCCAGACTCACAAATATGCTTGTTTGAATGCAGCTTTTATTCATCAATAAACAGACCATCACACTGTCATGAAGGCATGCGATTCTTTGACATTATCTAGCCGAAGGTTTCTGATCTGCCCTACATTTCACAGCACATTTATATTCCACTATTAAACAGCTGGTTAAAGATTAAAACGCTTATGCACCTTGTTATGCCTTAATAACCACCTCTATACTCGGGGCTTTTTAATGTAAATATCCTCATAACTAATAGTAAAGATTATTTCGCTGTATGACTGCAAGCAATCTGCTAGACGACTCCTGGTTCACATTAATGCGTTATTCTTTTTCATCAGGCGTTTTGGATATAGCTTCGTTGGTTTTTAATATTTTCATAAACGCTTCATCCAAATAATGCATAGCCTGCAGTATTTTTTTGTTGTTACTTGTTGCAGAGAAGACATGAGAATGCAGGGTTCCTCGCCTGTGCCATCCAACACTTTAATATCTTCCCAGCTTTGGTTGTTTATAGATCATCTTTTTCCATATTTTACGGCGATAAACGCTGTTTTGTATTCCAGACCCTTTCTTCCATTCAATTTCTGACAGATGCAAATGATTTTCAGGTTGTACATTTGTCGAAAAAGAAGATAATGAGCAATGAGTTCATGTCTTTGTACGTATATATTCAGTCAATGTTATCTTGTATAAATGTAAATGAACATTAGTGCTCCTTTGTACCTTTCTGAAAATTGCTATGTTTTTTCACAAATGAAACTCGTAATTAATGTATAAATGTTTCCGTGTTTTCATATGGTGAGGTGTATTAGGCAGACTTTAGTGTTTGAGATTTGTTGACTTTGTTCATTGCGTTTGTCCTTCATTTTCTGTTTAACACATACCATGTCTATCCATGTGATTAAAACATATCAGTCAGAATTAATTAAAATCCCTCTGAACTACATTGTAAAGTTTGTCTGGTCCTACTCATTAGAGCGATGAAGAATAAAGCAATAAGCCCCAAGAAGCCGTGATTTACAGTGAATTTATATCGGCTAAGGGGCGTTGTTAGGCACGATGAGAAGCAACCCCCTTAGCTGTTATAAATTCACTGTAAACCACAGCTTCAAGGGGCTTATTGCTTTTATAAAACGGTTATTTCATATACGTAGTAAGGTTTCACAAAAATAAAACAGAGCAAATAAAGTGTAATGATATTAATAAAACAGTGTTCTTCCACCAAACAATGTAATTCCTCAGAATCAGTTGTGGTTGCCGAGCAAAACACAAACGTAAACAAAGGTGTGTGTTTGTAGAGTAATTTACAACAGCTTCGAACGTGGCTCAACCAGTCAGAATCAAGGACCTGGAACTCTCCGTTTTATAAACTTAATTTTACACTTCATTATAAGCACTTATTTCATCATTTTATTGAAGCACTGTCTGATTTTCATGTCAGGTGTGATTTTCTGATTTGTTTGTCAGGTTAAGCGTTTGAAAAGATATTTAAATGATCTTTTAAGTGATTTTGCATAGACTTACGTGTCTCTAACCAATAATATAAAAGCTGCTACAACCTGTTCTTCTCGAAAATATCAGGTTCAAATTAGTTTAATTTCAATCAAATATTAATAATAACAATAAAATTGATTTGCCTTTTGCAATAGAGAGGAAGAGGTTGTAATATTTTGAATTCCCCCTGTGTAGCTAACAACATCTTCTGTGAAATGTCTGATATAATCGTAGTTCGCCTATATCTTTTCTTATATTTACAATGTAGGCCCATAACTCTTCAAATAAAGCCTTTAAAATATAGCTTTATTTGTTCAGTCGCTCCAGTTCTCCAGGTGGCGCTGTAAGCAATAAAACTGCTGCCACGCGACAAGCGCTTACCGAAGAACACAAGAGAGCTGCCATCCGTTTTAGATTACATTGATTTGTTTGGCGAAGATTTTAGAAGTAGTAACTGCCGTTTCATATTTAAAAGTAAAATGCAGTAAAATGGCCGCGAATCCACCGGGACAAGGTAAATAACGTTACTGTAGAATATCAGATGCCAAAAACAGCTGGACTGTCATTTCTGATATTAAGCTCATGCAGTGCAATATATAGTGTTTAAATCGTTTTCAAAGTAAATCCCTAGATATAACAAAATATACAGTGCGGTTGCCCATTAAACATTAAGGAATGAAGCTTTAATCAGTCGTTGTGTCACTCTCGTGCTGTTTCTATTAGATCTGCGAGTTTTCAATTTCACTAGTTGCTTTATTATTAACTATTATTTGTGTAAATTTGATCTCAATAGGATTTCAGAACAAAAACAGGGCTGCTATTCTAGCTGAGCTGGATAAGGAGAAGAGACGTCTGATACAGAGTCAGTCTATGAATAACCCAGGAGCCAGGTACTGTTTTAACAACATGCCACGATTAAAATATTTCATTTGTATTTTTCAGTGTTCTCTCTCTCTCTCTCTAAAAAAACATGCTAAGTCAAGTCAGTATCTGTCCAAGCAGTAATCAGCTTATTTGCATACTCATAAAAAGTCATAACCTATGCAGTATAACATGTTTTTCTTTTTTCTTTCCCAGCATTCCCCTCTCTCGACCAGCAGTAAATAAAGAGTTCAGGGATCAGGCCGAACAGCAGCACATTGCAGCACAGCAGAAAGCAGCTTTACAGGTACCGTAAGCTTCATGTTGGGAGTTTCAGTGTTCATCTATTCTTGATAATGCCCATCAGATGAGTATTGTTCTCTGGTTTGGTTTCAGCATGCACATGCACATTCATCCGGCTTCTTCATCACTCAGGATTCTTCCTTCGGTAACCTTATACTGCCTGTGTTACCAAGACTCGACCCGGAGTAAATAAACAATCAGCTACATAGACTGACTTGCTGTTTTGTAAAAACTTGCTACTCAAAGCTGTAATGTGGTTATGCTAGATGACTTTGGTTTTTCATTAATGTAAAGGTTTCTGATTTTTAGATTGTTATATGCTAGGAAGTATTTTTTCATGATTTTATATCAAATGCAAAAAAACTTGACCATTATTGTGTTGTCATTTTTTGATATATATGGAAGCCCGTTTCCGCCACTGAATAAAAAATAGAAAAAAAGGTAATTGCGACTTTTTATCTCACAATTCTGACTTTTTTTCTCAGAATTGCGTGATCTAAACTCACAATTGCGAGTTATAAAGTCAGAATTGTGAGATATAAAGTCACAATTGCGAGATAAAAACTCGCAATTCTGACTTTTTTTCTCGCAATTGGGAGTTTATATCTCGCAAGTCGCAATTCTGACCTTTTTTCTCGCAATTCTGAGAAAAAAAGTCAGAATTGCGAGACAAAGTCGCAATTGCGAGTTATAAAGTCAGAATTGTGAGATATAAAGTCACAATTGCGAGATAAAAACTCGCAATTCTGACTTTTTTTCTCAGAATTGCGTGATATAAACTCGCAATTGCGAGTTAAAGTCCAATTTTTTGGGGGGGGGGGGACTGATATGTTCTCAGAATTGCGAGTTTATATCTGAATAAAAAGTAAAAGGTAATTGCGACTTTTTATCTCACAATTCGGACTTTTTTTTTTTCTCAGAATTGCGTGATATAAACTCGCAATTGAGAAAAAAGTCAGAATTGTGAGTTTATATCTCGCAGTTCTGACTTTATTTCTCAGAATTGCGACTTTGTCTCGCAATTAGGAGTTTATATCACGCAATTCTGACTTTTTAACTCTCAATTGGGAGTTTATATCACGCAATTCTGAGAAAAAAAAGTCAGAATTGTGAGATGAGATAAGTCGCAATTACCTCTTTTATTTTTTATTCAGTGGCGGAAACGGGCTTCCTTCGATATATGTGACTGATATATTAATATAATTCTGCCATTATTTTCATTATTTTATTGGGCTAGAAGGGCCAAATCCAGTACCATCTAATGACCACAATAGTTTACAAAAGACAAAATCTTTTTCACCATTCCAAAGGCAAGAGTCAATAATTCAGCAAAATAACTTGTAAAACAGTTTATATTTGCAACTAATTGTGATATAATAATCAGTGGAGCTGTAAAGTAGTTAAAAATGTTATGTTAGTAGAATTATGTGGTCAACAAATAATTTCTTAGTTCTAAAACTGAGCCATGTGAGAGAAAAAATCTGACTTTATTCATATTACAGGGTTGCTTTATTTATGGTTGTATATTTGTTTCTCAACTTTATTTTTTAACCATTTAGTTTGTTTTTGTAACCTTAAATAATCCTTGTTGTGTATGTTCCTAGAATAAATTATATAATATCAGGCACATATGTTGAACAGGCACATATCTGTAACATATCTAACACATACAGTATCTAACAATGAACCATATCTGATAAGTGCTCACTATTGAAGAGAACATCTACACTAACACAGAACATTTCCAAAACAGGAATATATATGAAGGATAGTAGGATTAGTTCCACTACATTCATATGTCTACAACATATATGGAGTAACTGGATCGACATTTTAGCTTCATTGTCAAACTTGTAATTGTTGCCATACATAGTAAAAATACCATAACACAAAATTAGCATCCAAATGCCTTAAGCTGACTTAATACTACACTGGATAAAGAACATTTTGCATTGCACATAAGACAAGTGTGGTTACAATATAATCAAGATAAAGACAACATCAGAGTTTTATACACATTGACAGAAATAACAATTAAGGCTACATCCACACGAAGCCAGAGTTTTCCCTATCCAATCTTTTTTTCCCCTCGTCTCAAGAAATATCTGCATCCACACGAAACCAACACAAAACGATGTAGTATACATGCCAGACCAGTATGTGGCGCTGTAATTCCGCCACAGAGATATACTAAAAATGGAGAAGAAGACTTGGACTATGCGCATAAACCTTGCACGCGGTATACAAACGAACATGGAACAATGCATTTATTAATCTGTGTTAATGTTAGTTAATAAAAAGACAACCGTTCAGTGTTTGTTCATGTTTTTGTTGCTGTTACGAGACGTAGCGGTGTCTGACGTGGGCTGATGACGTCATCGTTTCAGAAAATATACGGATTCGCTGTCCACACGAAAACGCAAGGGCGGCGTTTTCAGATTTATCCACTCTGGGACCCGGTTTCCAAAAATATCAGTTTCACTCTCCCAAAATGCCAGATCCATGTGGACGAAACGCCTATACGATACAAAATGTATGCGTATACAGCTAAACACGTCTCCGTGTGGACGGTGCCTAAGACTTTACTAATGCTTACCTAAAAGAGCATTGAGACATGAAACAAGATGGCCTAAGTCAGTCATACAATTGAATTTAAAGCTGCTGTATGTTTTCTAATGATAAACTACTTCCTCCCGTACCATGCAGCCATTTGTAGACTTTCTTAGGAGTGTAAACACAGTGACTCTGTGGCCCTTTCCTTGGTTTATTCAAGCCATACATAGAAAGAGATAACCATTAGCATTCCCATTTGTCCAAATGGCAGTTGCTCAGCTGGCGCAAGACCTCTGGAAGTATCCACTATCTTTGAACATGGACACAGACTTTTTTTCTGTGAATGCCATGTGACTAATAACTCTGGAGCCACTGCAAAATTACATTGAGACATGCTGACAACACTGATTGGCTGATGGCACCACAAGAACACGCATAGTCCCAAGCCCTTCACAAGCGACTATCCTGAGTGACACAAAAGGCAGCAGACTGGGGAAATATAAGTTCATTTGAGGCTTGAAGAGCCCTCCAAATAGTCACTTGGCAAATATAAGGATAACAGAAAACAGCTCATTTTAAATGGAAACAAATTTAAATGGCACTTCATGTCAGAAATTTGGTAACTCCTGGTGTAGGCATCTGTCAACAGTGGCTAACTGAAACTTCCTAATCGCCCGAACCTTGGCTCATTGGTTTAAGCTGTCCAAAACATAAACTTCTTGTTCAACGAATGCCATGCATTTGGGTCGGGACTACCTGCTTGTCCAAAAATGGAAGACGGAAGAAGTGTTTGGGAAACTTGCTTGGAAACAGCAGATTGGTTTGGTGCTACTAGTGGCTCAAAAATTACACTTCAGCTTTAAGCAGAGTCAGTAGAGTCAAAAGAACCAGCAATGACAAAGTTGGTGCTGCCAGGATGGGAACTCCCTGACTGGACGGCTTGTTGCCTGAGGTCATTGCAGATCAGGACTAGCTGATTGCTCTGGGCCTCGGACAAGGAGCTGCAACTCTGGTAAACGCTGAAATTGGTCTTTCTCCCTGGAATGTTGCCTTTCTCACACATGGTCTTCACCATCTTTGCTAATTTGTTCTTTCCCAGAGCTTGGCAGTTGTACCAGTGCAGGGCAGCGAGGTTGACCACTGGCTTGATGGACAGATAAAAGGGCGCATCTTCAAAGAGCATTGCTTGAGGTCTGCGCTGAGCATATTCCTTGTAGTCCTGCACAGGGCAGGTTTGAGGAGCATGCGGGGTAGCGTAGATGCGGTACTCGGTCGTGGACCTTCGGTTTCTGGCATTAGGGTCAGTAAAATCCTGGTAGGTCCACTCCAGACACTCTAGTCCTGTTTCTGTGGTGAGTAAGCGCACGTCACCCCATTTGAGTGTGGAGCTATGGAAGCCTGTACAGTGGCCAAAAGCCTTGGTGTTGTTGAGCCACACCAGGTTAAGCAGACCCTCAGGGTTGAAGCGACTCAGAAGCCCCCGTTTCCTTAGGAGCAACTCATCAGCAAAGGTCAGCTTCATTGACTTGTGGGGTTTGTTGCCTTTGCCTTTGAACTTGAGCTCCAACTGCTTTTGCTTGAGGGCATCCTGGGATCTCTGGAACTCCCGGTCTCTTGTAATGCTGTAAGCATAGTGATGCTCCTTCAGATAACGCTCCAGGCCACACTGGTAGTTGGCCAGGCTGTTGGGCTCATACTCCGAGCCATCCCTTTGGCGTGCATCCACGAAGAAGGAGGCCAAGTAGATGTCCAACTCTTGGCAGGGGATGAAGTATATCTCTCTGGCCTCGGTTGGATACTTAGAAACCAGGAAGTCCCGAAAGTTGCGAAGAGCTGTTTGGGTGCTGCGAATGGTCTTCTCATTCTGTTCTCGGTATGCATCCATGTCTGCTGAAAGGGAAGAAGGTAGTGTTTTCATTATGTCCAGAACAAAACTTAGAAAACAAAATAGACCTCAGTCAGGGTAGACTGCATATTAAGTTTGACATGAATGGAAATGCATTTCTATCTCTCAGTAAAGGATACACATACAGATCAACAATGGTTTAAATCAGTGGTCCCCAACCCTAGTCCTCAATTACCCCTAATTCTGCACATTTTGTATGTTTCCCTAAACAAGCTCACCTAAATCTACTCGTCAACTCATTGTTAGAGACTCCAAGACCGGAAATGGGTGTGTCAGACAAGAGAGACATCTCAAATGTGTACTGTTGTGGGCACTCCAGGGCCAGGGTTGGGGACCAAGGGTCTAAGGTAACCATCAAGAGCTTTTTGTCCATAAGACGTTTTTTGGAAAGACAAGGTTTTGAAGGTACAACAAGATTTTCAAGGCACAATCCATTGAACAGACTGTACTTCTATCTCTCCAGCTATGTTTTTATTTGCACCATATTAAATATAAGAGGACTATCCTGACTATGCTCCATTGTTCCAGCAAACAGATTCCGTTGAGGTACTGTCTAATCTTTAGGTAAAGATTTCTAATCTCCGATTCCGTATTGGTTGTATTGCCGACTGAGTTATTAATTGTTAAAATAATGGCAAAATAATGTTTCCAATAAAATACAGAAGCATCTCAATATTGTGATATTCTGTTTATTACTCACAGTAACAGTCATTGAACCCACTGGTTCATACAATGTAGTGTACCATCATTACGCACTTATTTTTCACAGTCTGCACCTTGGCAATCTTATTACATGACACAAATCTGGTATTCAGAGAGGAAGAGGTGTCGTGTCAAAAAGTACAAACATACACTGTAGTTTGTGATGGTAGTGAGCATGCAACCGTACAGTTATTAGTATCAGTATTACCTATTTACCTAATGTTTAACACTGAAATAAATACTGGTTAGGCAAAATGATACTGATACAAGGCATACAAAACAATTATTTGATTTCATTAAAAAGCCAAATTGGCCAAGAAGAACACAACAACTGATTGAAAGTTTCCAAAAAATGTGCTGTCATACATCGCTCACTTTGTGATGGATTATGGCTAAGGACAAAAGAGATCAAGGCCGAAATGTGACGAGAAATACAAGTGTTCTTTTAGAGTGGTCACATGTCCACTGTAAATCAGATAAGGTAAATGTTTTATTTGCTGACGATTGGTAGAAGCTCCCCCTTTGCTTTCATGCTTTTAATCTTGGCTTTGATGCTGTCATCCATGGCCTGTCGGCATCTGACTGCATAGTGGGCCAATGTTTCCTCCTTCTCGTCCCATGGAGGCAGAGCGTGGAAGACTTCAGGAGCCGCCAGGCTCAGTTCTGCAATGGCTGCTGTTCTCGAAATGGTATTGCGGTCAACGCCAACTCTATCAAAAGCCACTTTCATGGATACGCTACGTTGAAACTCTTGCAGTGCCGCCATATATCGTGCAATCACGCCCACAACGTTTTTCACTGAAAAATAGTAACATAATTCTTTAGTGAAACTCTACAGACTGGGACAAAATTTTACTTGAACGCATATCAAAATCTAGCATTATTATTCATTAATAATGAGTTATAGTTCAAATTTAGAAAATCCCAGTTTATGTATTGAGCCCATCTAAGATAGCTAGACTTCGGATCCAAATCCCAGTCTTACATTACTTACTTCGGACACGTGTATTCTCGCCGTCTCTGCTTCTCTTTGATGAAATCTTGATGGTCCTCTGCCTGTCCAGTGGATGCAACTCCACCTCCTCAAAAGAGTCAAAGAGGGCTGGTGAGTCAAACGCAGCGCCCTCTTCAGGAATGGAGGTAATAATCTGATGCGAGCTTCCTGCCTCCATTTGACTTGATGAAAGTGTCCTTCTTTTATCTACCAATCAGAGAAAACAAGACAATCCTTATCCAAATTACAACCTGCATTCTGATCTTCATGCTTCCCTTCATATCATAAAAACTAGGTATTATCCAGAAATGAAATATGATGGGTTTATAAGGAATAGTCACCTGGCCGTAGCTGGTCTTGCAGGAAGTCACAGATGAGCTCAGCCTTCTTGGTGAGTTCCTGTTGCAGAAGCTCTTTGTCTTGCTTCAGGCCGCTGATGGTTTCACCCATCAACTCATTTTTGCTTCTCTCAGCCTGCAGTAGTGCTTTCAGTCTCTCTATTTCATACACAGCTGGAGAAACTGTTTGAAATAGAAACAGAGCTTTACCTCAGGAGTTCCTACTAACTCTGGAAAGATGTATCTAAATTTAATTTTTGTGTGCTAATCTGAAATTTGGTCAAAAGGAATACGTAACAGAAAACAAAGAAATACGTGGCTGGTGGTAAACATTTAGGCCTGCCATGATCTGATTTAAAAAAAATTATTGAATTAATTACAAGATATGTTGATTTATTATCCAAATTAATCACTATTAACTACATACTGTATATCTACAGCAATCAAGTTTATCCGTGGTTTACACACGACATTCTTCTGTTCCATTTGTAATGTCTATCGTATTTGTTTCATGTGCATCTTACTGTTTTACGTCATGATTGTTTTTTTAGCTACTTGACTTTACTGCACTGTAGCAGTAAGTCATAGTATGCACTTTTTGCTATTTTAGCATATTTCGGCAAATTTGTATTGCATATTTTTTACTTTTGTTTCTATCACAGCACACAGCTCTACGTGCTTAGTATGAATAATGTAAAATAAAAAAAGTATATACATTTTTTTTTTTTTACTTTAATGCATCTCACTTAGCTGGATTCAAAATATCTTTTCAACGTAGTAAAATCTAAAAATATGCTACTTCTCTTTCCATTAAAGTTTACTCTGATTGACTGCCATGCAACATCTTCAAATGCGATCCATTTATCATTGCTTTTGTTGTTAGTTTTTGTTACTTGATTTAAAAATTCCACCAGATATTTCTTTGCCTTTGTTTGGGTTGGTTTAAATTTAGAGCTTCTTTATAATACTTATTTAAATGCCTTTTCTTTTAGTGGATTTATTTTTGCTACTTCTACCATGACCTATTCAAATAAATTCATTTTGTGATTACATTAAAAAGCATAATTTGAAAAGACCATACAACCACCTCGAAGTAATGCCACCAAATCATTGATGCATACTAGTAAAAGCAATATTAAAATAAAAAAATAAACTGAATTAAGAAGCAGTCACTAAAAGACTCCTACCTTATAATATAAGATGCCAAAAATGCGGAGTAATTACAGCAATTGATTCAAAGGCAAAAACAGATCAGGGACAACATTTGGTCATTGATTTTATTGTAACGCATCAGAAAATGACAAATAAGACCACTTAAGACACATCAGGATGATGGAGCATTTACACACTTGAAAATAAACATCAGGTTTGTAGAAGTGCTAAAATAAGGGCAAGTTCAGCATAAGTGTGTAGGTACAAAACAAGACACTTTTAAAACCGGTCAGGTGAAAACTTCCCAACCATTATGAAAAGACTGATCTTTCATAACCATAATAAATGCTAATGTCATTTTTTTTTCTTTACATTAAACACTTGTGGACAACGTGATATACCTACCAAATGCCAGTTTTTTTTTATAAGAAACATAATACTTGATTGTAAAAAGTGATCAGACTTACTGAACCTTCCAATGTTTTAAAGTCTCCTTTACTGATGCCATCCAAAGAATTCCATTAAATATGGTAAATGTGTGAGCCCTTGAGTGACGTTTTCACTACACACTCACTGTAAGAAATTCTGAAATATCAAGAATGAACACAGAAGTTGTTAATTGTCTGGTTGTTTACATCGAATAACCTAATCTCTGGAAGTAATTTTATATGCTGTTAAATGCTGATTGGTCTACATGATATCACTTAGGCAAAAATTACAAATGCAATACAAAAGAGCGGAGTAATAAAACTTTGTGGGATGCTTATAAATATCTAAAATCTCCATTTTTCTCTCAGTCATGCACAAGGAATGACGCTATTGTCAGTTTAGTGTGACGCTGATTGATAAAACATAATTTCATGGAACCAGCAGAGGAAAAAAAGTAAGATAAAACAAGAAAATACAGTTTAAGGTGGTTTTGATATAGTGATAATTCACATTTTTATATTTAAAGATATTGGATATGAGTAAAAACCATCAAAATGGTTTGACAAAACTCAAAATATCTTGTCTTGATTGTTACACTGCTACATGACTAACGTGATTAGACTAATCTAAAGGTTTAAATGGATATAAACAGGTTTGTGTTGACTAAACGAGTCAATAACGATCACAGTATAGATAATGTGGGTTTGGTTGAAATTAATGGAATGGAAATAGTTCATGTGTCTGACCGTGAATCGTTCATCTTTTAGTGCTGTAGCTAAACCGAATCAACTTTAAAGGGGTCATATGATACGATTTCAATTTTTCCTTTCTCTTTGGAGTGTTACAAGCTCTTGGTGCATAAAGCGTAAAAAGACAGTATAAGTCATTATAATTAGTAATTATGTCCCCACTGGATGCAACAAATGCCTCGTTTATAATGGGTTTTATTGGTTTTGTCTCATCGCTCCGGCCGGGACACGGCATCAACAGTATGGTGAGGGGCATAACATTTCCGTCACACGCTTGAGGTATTCGGCCAATCACAATGTACTGGATAGCTGGCCAATCACAGCACACCTCGCTATTCAGATCGATGAGCTTTGTAAAAATCAACGCGTTTCAGAAAGGCGGGGCATAGAGGAGAAACAATAATGTACAGTATGTGGAAAATAATGTTTTTTTAACTTTAAACCGCATAAACATTTCATTACACCAAATACACAAAATAATGTTCTTTTTAGCAACATCATATGACCCCTTTAAACAATTCCAGACTGAATCGTTCATGTCCAAGACACCGACCGGTAGCTTTCATTGTGTTTCGTTTTCATTTCATTTATAATAATAGCATTTGTCTGTGAATGGA